AAAAAGCCTCGGCGTTCTCCATAGGGGTTCCGTGTTTTTCTTTCTTGGAATTCTTTTTGGGACAGGCCGTTTGTCGTAAGAATTTCGGCAGAATATTTTTAGTGGCGCGCACTCTCCCTTCTTTTTCGGTGGGGTCGAAGGTGTCGGGGCGTAGCTCGAGGAGGCGCGGCGAAGTCTTTGACTTTTTTGTTTTCTTTTTGTGGCAAACAAGAAATACCGAGGTTAATACAGTGCGCACAAGTAGCAGTACTGCGTGCGGCATGCGCGGGCTCGACGTGAGGCAGGCTGGCTCTACGTAGGGCTGTCGCGGGGTGCGGGCTGCATCGCTGTGCGGGGACTGCGCGGCGTGCACATGTACCTCGGGTTCCTTGTGCTGTGTGCTGTGTGCAGTCAGACTGGACACAGACTGGACAGCAAACTGAACGGATGGCGGAGCGCGCGCGCAGCGTGCCACGCGCGCGCAGCGTGCCACGCGCGCGCCTCGTGCAGTGCAGGACGCGAGGCGGCAGGGGCGCAGCGGAGCACGCGGGCTGAATGGTTCAGAACAGGGCTGTTGTGCAGGCTGCATGCAGTCTGCACAGCAGCCCTGCTCGGGTAACGGAGCGCGTGCTCGGTGGCCTGCGCGCGCGGCGTGCCGCCGCGCGCGCCTCGCGGTGAAGCGTCCTGCCGGGCGCGTCGCGCTCCGGTGCGGCATGGTGCCTGAAGAAGGTGCAGGCGCCTGTGCAGTGGGCGCAGACTGCAGTGAGAGGTGCACTGCGGCGCGCGCGTCGCGGCGTGAGTGGTCGTGCGCCGGGCTCTGGTGGTGCGAGAGGCGCGTGGCTGGTGCGGGCGGCTCGGGACAGCCATGGGGTGCCAGCACAGAGCAGACGCACATGGCACAGCTCTGAAATGGCGCTGCGCGTGTTTGCGTGCGCGCGGGGACGTACGTGCAGTTTTCACGCGGTGTGCGTGGAGAGGGTCATGCAGGGCGCCGGAAGCGCGTGTATTGGCGTGTGTGGGAGTTCGGGTTGCCCGTAAGGCGGTAAGATTCGCATGAGAGGCCTCCATGCGATGAGTGGACCAATTCTCGAAAGAAAAGGTGAGTGGCATAAAACAGGATTTTTCAACAAAGCTCCCTCGAGCCGCTCGCGCGCACTAAAACAGAAACTTGAACCTGGTTTGTGGAGCTCCCACACCTTACCTAGAGAGCACGGCATTCGGGGCCATGAATCTCGGTTCCGCCTTGGACTTTTTTTGTAGTGGAGAGAATTAAGGAATCTTTCTGCTCTGGCATGCAGCTGCATAATTCCCCTTTACTTCAATCAGCTTTGTACACTCAAGTGCTATTACTGTCCGTATAGCTGTCTAGACGCTCCTATTTTGCTGTCTGGACGCTGTCTGAACATTGTCTGGACGCTGTCTGGACGCTGTCTGGACGCTGTCTGGACGCTGTCTGGACGTGGAAGATCGTCTGAGGTGTGAATAGATAGACCTGCTGCGCACAGGCCGCCGGAAGGCAGGCGGCTGGCGCGTCAGCTGCAGGTGCGAGCGCCGCCGCCTCGCCGATCGCCCCCGCCTTTGCCGGCGCACCGGCACCCGCCTGAGCCCATCCCGATCATCCGCCTCGGCCGCGATCACACCCTGCTCGCCGCCTGGTCCAGGCGAGACGAGCGCCCGCCAGACTGCGACGAGGCCAAACCGCGCGCACCAGCGACGCGAATAGGTGCTGCCACAGCTGCTGCTGTTGCGTGGACGGCGAGAAGCGCCGTGTTTGCGGCGTCTGTCGCGGAGGAGGGAGGGCGATTCGGCGGCGATGTGAAAGGACGGCGTGGCGGCGCCGCAAGCGCGTTCGGTCGCGCGCGCCCCGAGGCCGCCGTCTTCGGTGCAGCGTTCGTGTCTGACTGAACTGCTGGGCTCGCGCTTTGCCCATTGCGCAGCGGTGGGTCGACGTGGCTACTGCCGGCCCGCGGCTTCTTCATCGGCTGCGGCGCGGGGCTCATGGCTGCAGCATGGCACCCGACCATTGCGTGCCACGCTTGCTCTGTCCTTTTCGCAGCATGTTGCGACGTTGGCGTTGCCCACAGTTGCCAGTTGTGAGCGCGCGCCAATGGCCGCCTCCGTGACACTCCCACCACCTGGGCCGGCGCGGGAGTTTTAACGAGTTTCTCCCGGCCGGCCGCCTCCTGACACGCCCACGGACCGAGCCCAACGAAAAAGTCAGGTGCGCCGCATGCTCCCTGGCCCCTGCTCGCCCCTGCTCGCCCCTGCGCTCGCCACTGTCGCCTCGGTTGCCGAGGCTGCCGCGCACCCGCGCGCCCGCGTCGCTGCGCGACTACAAACTGCACCAGCTGAGCTCGAACCAACGACCAAAACGTGTCCCCGACCCGAACGCTGCACCAACTTAGGCCACCCGCCCCAGGCTCATGATCTCTCTCGAGTGGCAGCGTCGATTCCGGGCACCAGGAGCGGAGCTTACGATCTGACGAGTCGCACCGCAGGCTGATGCAGCACAACTATAGGCGCGGAGCAACTTGATGGCGCCCGAGCGGAGGGCGGCGACGAGCAGCTCGTCGAGGGCCGCCAGCAGCGGGATGCCCTTGTGGTCGGCGGCGGTAAGCGCAGCTGACGTACCGGCAGCATAGCCCTTCTCCTCGTGTGTGTGCACGCCTTGTTGTGGGTGGCTGTTCTTCACCTTTCTTTCTCGAGGTGCGCCTTGTCTGTCGTGTGAATCGTGCGTGTGCGAGAGCCTTTTGTTGTGAAATTCTCGAGGTGGATATCCTTTGGCCGCGTTGGGTAGCGAGGATTGGTGTGACGCGATCCACGCAGGCGTGTTTTCTGGCGGCCGACCGTCAGTGCACGGAGTTGCCCCTTCTCCGACTGCCCCGGCTAGTTCCCGAGGTCGTCGGGTGTGACCCCTTCGTGTGTGTGTCCTGTCGCGCCATAATATGGGCCTAGATGTGAGAAGAAAGGAATAAATAATTAAATGAGACCGTCGAACAGTGAGAAGTATTAACAGCAATGGCGCTAAAAATCTCTAGAAAAAAGAAATTGCGGGTTAACGCGGCGGGCTTTGTGAGCACGATTGCTGACACGCCCTGGCGGCTCGCACGCCCATGGGCTGCGGCGAGAGCAAAGCGGACGAGCTGGAAGAGGAGCAGAGAGAGCAATACGCGCAGGAGAGGCAGCTGACGTCGGAGAAGCAGCCGGTCGGCAAGCTCGATCTTGACGACAGGATAGCGACAGACGATGCCGAGGACGAGGAGAAGGGCTATGCTGCCGGTACGTCAGCTGCGCTTACCGCCGCCGACCACAAGGGTTGCCCACTGCTGGCGGCCCTCGACAAGCAGCTCGTCGCTGCCCTCCGCTCGGGCGCCATCAAGCTGCTCCGCACCGAGTTCCTGCGCGCCGACGGCTCCGAGGCGGTGCTGCCCGAGCTCCTCCGCCGGCAAGAGCTGGAGCGAATGGAGGAGGAGCGACGCATCCGCATCTTCCTCACGCCGGAGGAGGCTGTTGCGGCGCTGCGCTCGCTGAGCCGCGAAGTCGCCGGGCTGACTTACGGCTGGGCCTCGCCGGACCACCCCGACGTGACTGGAGAGTATCTGGCGAACGTGCGGCGCTTCCTGCGCCACCCGCTCGGCGAGCACGTGACGGGCCTCTTCTGGGAGTGCGCCGCCGCCCCGACCCCTCCCCCGTGATAGGCAGGCCTTCCCTCTGCGCCTATCCCTCACTTGTGACGCTTCTCTCACACTCTGCCGCCCCTGCCCCCCGTGCGCCCCCCCTCCGCAGCTTCTCTTCGCTCCCGCAAAAGCCAAGGACGGCGGCCGAGGACGAGTTCTTCTATCAAGCGCTCAAGGTCCGCGCCGCCTTCTCCCCGCCGCCCTCTGCGCCCGCCGCTCTTCTACTCCCCACTATCTCGCCCGCACACACATGCCCTTGCTTCTCCTAGCACCTCCCCTCTTCTCACCCTCCGGCAGGTCATGGGCGACGTCTACGCCTCTCTCTTCGGCACGATCGTCATCCGCCACCGCTCCGTGCCAGCCCGCCCGGCGGAGCTGGACGGCGAGGTGGTCATCCTCGTCGAGAAGGGCGGCGGGCTCGACGGCGCCGGCGCCGAGGCCGAGCTGCGCAGAGCTCTCGGGGCGTTTGAGAACCCGCGCTTCGAGGAGGGCCGGTGGCGCGTGCGCTTCCCAACGCACGCGGCGGCGGAGGAGGCGGTCGAGGCAGCCTCTGCAGCAGAGGGTGCGCTGCCGGGCGCGATCGCCGTCTTCCTCTTCTACAACGGCCGCCCTTACCTCGATCGCGGGTGCGCCCCCCCCCCCCCCCTCTCCCTCTTGGCTCCCATTCCCTTCCACCGCCGCCGCCGCGATGCGGCGGGCGAGAATCCCCCACCCCCCCCTCAGAGGGGCCCCGCCAGGAAACTCTTTCCGTTACCTCCCCCCCCCA